CAAATCAGCTGAGGGTCCCGGGGGGAGAAGGGGTAAGTCCTCCAGCGCTGTTAAAATCATTCTCGACAAAAAATAGCTGGCTTAATAAATACATTTCTCCCAGGCCATGCTGTCAGTGCTTTGCTGAGCTTATGGGGATTTCTGTGCGAAGGCGAAAGGCTCGGGGCTGAAATGCCCCGCAGGCAGCTCTGCAGGCAGGGCAGGTTTAGCCCCGAGTCCTGAAACAGGCACAGACCACGTGTCCGGGGATCTGTCCCTCCTCACACCAGGGCGATGACACTCAAAATCCCACTTCCTGAAGCAGCCAGGTACTGGAGCACGTCTGCTGGGAGAGAGGATGCTGGTGAGACTGGGTCTCCGGGAGATGGGGCGTCTTGAGCTCAGCTGAACTACGTCTCCAGCTACAGACGGCAGCTTCGCCCTTCCTACCCCAAATTTCCAGGGCAGATCTCGCTAGAATGTGTTTGCCAGTCCCGTTAGCTGTGCTGGGGTCTCTGTTTGCTTCCCTTGTTCTGCCTCCTCCACCCAGGACGTGCAGGGGGGGTCTGAGTGTAGGGCAGAGACTTCTCCAGCCCAGCCTGTGGTGGGAGCAGCCAATTTCAGACTGTTGGGATTTGCTCCTGGGTGGGTCCCTCTACAGCCGCTGGAGCCAGCGCTCATGCAAACATCAGCCTTTCCAAAGCAAACGCAAGCAGCTTATCCAGCCCTGCCATCCTGGCCTCAGCACCGGTTCCGGCCCCTGCCTCTGAAACCACGAGCTTTTGCAGATGGAGAGGTGGGTGCTGGAGCCAGCAGGGCTCGGCAGGATTTTCCCATTTTCTACCAGGCTGATGTAAAAAACAAAACAAAATAAAGAAACCCTTAGAAACAAAATGCCCAGCCCATTCCTCTTCCAAACCTAGACCCCAGCGGTCGGACAGGTGCGTATCACCTCAGCATCCCCGGCGAGCCTTTGCTGGGGCTTTCCTGGGCATGGACTCTTCAGCCCAGCTTGCAGGAGCCTAAGTTGGCCGTAGCCCCCAAAACTGGTTGTTTCCCCAGATCCCAGCCCTTGTAGCTGGAGGGGTGGATGAGACCTTCTCACAGCTCACTTGCCATCCCCCGCCCTGTTGTTGGGCTGCCCGGACGAGGGGTCACCCACCTCCAGGCTTTGCCCAGGCACACGCAGAGCCAACGTGTCCCAAACCCACCCTGGGGAAACACACTGGGGACCTCCGTCTGGCTGAAAGGTGGGTGCAGCAGCAGGGTTCAGAGCACCCCTGGGTGGCAAACAGCCCGCAGCATGGGTCTGCGGCCTCGCTCCTTGCCGCTGCCCGGGGAGGAGCGGTCTGCCTGCTCCTGCCTGCTGCTGCCCTTGGACTGTTCTTGGGCTGTTCAGTGCTGGTACTGGGTAAGAAAACAAGCAGATAAAGCAGGCGGGATCCCAGCCGATGCCAGAAAACACCCACCTCTGTTCCAATAAAAACACCAGCAAGCCAATTTTTTTTTTTTAAGATATACACAGAGATTAGACTATCTTAACGAAGCAGTAAAACACTTTAACAGCTCCCCTTGCTAGTTATTAAAAAGTCCCCTGGGTTTTCCCCTCCCTGTGCGCAGCTTGGCTCTGAAAGGGCCTGTCCCCTGAGCGCTGCAGCCATTTAAACAATTTATGTTAGTGCCTGCGGGGAGGCAGCATGAAAATAACCTTTTCCCTGGGGGTAAGAGCCTGGTCCCCATGGTCGGAGGGGAGGTGACATCCAGTGCCTCTGTCAACCACCGTGGCCTTTGGTCTGGCAGCCCCATGGCCCCACACAACCCCGTGGGCTTGCTGGTGTGGGGTGCGTCACCATGGACCTGGGGAAGGGGTGCAGGGGATGTGCGGGTGCAAGTGCAGCTTGCGGGGCCCGATCCTGACACCCCCACCCTCCTCGGGGCTGGGGTGGGGATGCTCCCCTTGTCCCTCGTACCATTCCCTGTGCATCGCTCAGGGATCAGATGCTGGGAGGAAAACTCTGTGTGTTGGGGCTGCTCGGGGCTGCTCTAAAAAGCACCCTTTGGGCTGTGCACCAGCACTGGCTTGTCTCAAAGCTTGCCTCGGACCTCCTTGCCACAGCCCTGCCTCTGGCACCCGCTGCTCAGAGAGGAAAAGGTAAGAAAAGGTCCAGACGAAGCAATTCTCACCCAGGGCTGACAGCGTCCTGCCTGCCACTTCCCCCAGGCTGAGAACCGGCTGCTTTGAGGGGTGACCTGCCTGAAAATTAAACCCCTCGAGAGAAAGTTTTCAGCCAGAGCGGTGCGATGGAATGACCTGGTGACACCAGTGGCAGTGGGGTTGTCCCCCAGGCCAGCCCAGCCCCTGGTGGGAGGGGGGCATTGAGCTGGTGCACCCCAGGGCACTCTGTAAGCCTTGCTGGGGAGCAGCGCTGCGAGCAGAGCCCTGGGCTCACACTGCCTGACCCGTTGCAGGCAGCGTGGGGCCAGAGAGGACAACACATGGGGCAGGAAGCCCTGCTCTCAGCCCGGTGGTATTTTGGCCGCAGGGGTGGGCTCCTGGGCAAGGCTGAAGTGTTGGCGCTGGTCAGAGCAAAGTGGGGTTAAACCAGCCCAGCAGAGGGTTTTTGTGTCCTGGGTTTCGAGCTGATTTCCAGCTTTTCCTTCCCACTGGCCCAGGGTTGCAGGTCTCTGAGGCAGGAACCTCCTACAGGTTTTGTGCAAAGAGGCAGCCGAGGAGAAGGAAAAGATGTCACCCGGTGCCCATCTTCTGAGGAAAGGGCTTGCAGCGTGTGCTCAACCTCTATTACACACCAGAGGAGCCACACCAGGCCGGGGATGCTCTGACTGCCCAGGGCAGCTCAGGGACCAAGTGGGAGTCTCATGGTCACCTCTTGCCTGCTCCCCACCTGTGGGACCCCCCTGACCTCCCTCTGAGTCTGCTCTCAGTGTCAGCGGCTGAGTGACCGGCAGGGTGGCGAACATGGGGACAAAGCCGGAGCGTGAGCCAGGAACCTTTGGGAACTGCGTCCCGGGGCTGTTCCCTGCCTGGGCTGGCAGCGGGCCAGGGCTGTGCTTTGGAGACTAATC